TGTGTGTGTGTGTGTGTGTGTGTGTGTGTGTGTGTGTGTTCAGTGTGGTAGGGGACTCATATGTTTAGTAGGAGGGTGAGGGAGATAGAAGAGTGAGTGTTTGCGTTGGTTGGAAGTGAGAAACAGAGAGGGGCAGCGATGGGAAAAGTAAGAACCAAAGTAATGTATACATTATTTATTAGTCATTAGTTACAATAGAGTCCTACAGAGAAATCTATGAGATGAGTTGTGTGTGAATTCATGTGCGCACAAAGCCGTACTCCTACTATGCATGCATGCATGCGTGAGATTCAGTTTATATCTGTGTACCACGCGCTCTCAGCTCTCCCCACAATTGCACAGATCTGCACCTGTGACAGTTATCCAGCGGTCCTCCCTGCCAGGCAGCGAAACGCAGTGTTACCTCCACTCAGCTGACTGCCTGGGTTAATGTATGGTTTGGGTTGGACATGGAAACACTGTTCTCTGGTTTTTTTTTGTTTCTTTTGCTTTTCTATGTCTGTCTGTGCTCAGTCTCTCACTATTTTAGTCCCAAGAGCCTTTGTGAAGGTAATCATCTTTTTGGTTGTGAAAAGGGAGAGAGAAAAGTGGAAAGGGGAGAGTTGAGAGGGAGAGGCATCAAAGAACCGGAAAGGAGGGAGGAAACAGAAGGGAGGGAAAGCAAGTGTAACACGTTGGCTGGAAGTGATCAGTGTTCGAGGGCAGTCTGTGATATTCAAATTTGATGCTGTGTTGTAGCAATCTACTTGTGTACTGTAACCATAGTGTCGCTCCTTCATTATAAAAGAACTGAATAAAAGTAATAGGATTTGGCCTCTTTTGAACAGAGTGCTTAAGAAATACACAAGTTTAGTTAAAAACAAAAAAATAATTAAATAGATTGCAAGAAAGGATCAATTAAATTCAGAGTTTTCAATGACACCATAGATGGATGGATGGGATGAAGTGAAAAAAAGTGAAAAAGCCTAGGCTCTTCTGGTTAATCATTCATGAAAAAAGGACATATCTGTTGATTTTTAAGGAAATGATGATTGATGTTGCTGTGCAAAATAGAGTTTCTAATAGTAAATAGAAAATAGTCCAGTTTGAAGGGATTGTAGGGACGTAATGAAAACGACAGTGATGAAATCTCGAGCGTCATTACAGCTGGAGACATGCAGTTATACTGGAAGCGTTGCAAGGACAAATGAGCTTGGATAATGTTAATGCTCTTCTGTTTCATAAGAGCACATAGACACAGACAATGTTATGCAGACAAGTGTCTTGGTGAGCATGCTTTGGCTAAAACCAGGTGCTTAGTGTCATCATCATCACAACCATCAGACATCAGATGCTTTACTAAAGAGAAGCAGCAATTTCATCCATGTGTTCAATAATTTAGTGTGGCCCTGGAAGGATGTTGTAAAAACTGGAATGGCCTTAGCTTTCACACGAATATACACCAAAGTGTTGACACCTTGTCTGTCTTTGGCTTCCCTCAGAGGAGTGTCGCTATTCATAAATCCTGGTAAGGCTGTCTGGGATCATTAAAAGGACCTGCTGGGGGTTTTTCTTTCCCCAATGGATTTACACTTTTAGTGGTGTTGCCGATGCCAGACAGTCGCATAAAAATGGAAGAGTGGCTTCCGTGACAATTCGCAGTCAAGCTCCTGCATAGTACGGAGTGTGAAATTTCTCATCCCTGACACGCCAACCGCTGTGGGAGCCATTTGTAACAGGATAACGACACTCCCCGAAATGTTAAGGTGATAGATTTTGTCACTAGATGTTTCTCTCAAACTTGAAGCATGCAGAGACAGCAGCCACAACTCGCAGATAAACATGAACACACACATTTGACAGTGACCATTGGATGTTCACAACATATTCTCTCCTTAACAACAGCAGCGCCCTGTTGGACCTGTGTTTGAGCGTGTCTACATAGTTTATTTGTAGATGCTGGTTGACAGTAACGTGAAATGAACATCAATACTGTTGGTCTTCTGCCAGTTGTTCTCTTGTTGTTGTGATGAGGTAGCATTTAACGTCAGTATAATGGACATCATCATGGTTTCTGACGCACACAGCAACTCTGTCTCTTCTCATGTTACTGTGATTGTTTCTATGGACGACACAGAAGAGAAAACAATTTAGAAAGTGTATTTTATTTGGCCTTGGAGGCGATATGTCATAGTTTGTATCATCAGACAAAAGGTTGGAAAAAATATGATACCTAGAAATGAAAAATGTGAACATCTAACTCCTGGTTTGTAGCTTCAAATAAGATGTGATATTGAGGGGGAGAGTAAAAGACCTTGGTGTAGATTGGAAGCATTGTTGTGTCACTGGCCCACGCATGCACACAAACACACACACACACACACACACACACACACACACACACACACACACACAGATGCTGACCTGAATATAGATGTATGGATGGATTCCGCTCTGTTGCATCTTGCTTGCAAAGCCTCAAGGAT